TAGCTTAAGTTTTTGGGTAAATAGTCAAGCGCTTACCCGTTACAATTGGTATTAGAGCTAGACTTAATCCTCGATCCGGTGTCATGCCAAGCGCCCTACCCGAAGGGTGTTCGGGTAGGTAAGGTGACCTAAGCAGCAACGAGGGCATTGCTAGTTCAGGTGGGGGAGAATGTTATAAACTAACAAGGGTGAATTTGTCTCACATCGGATCCAGATGGAAAAATGAATAAGTACCCATGCAACACTACCTAATAACTGTCCTCGGAGGGCTAGCAGTGATGGTGGGGCTTGGGCCTGGTACACACAAGGCCAGTGTTCAAGTCCTCTACCAAGCTTTCTAGTTTCATCGACTAACTTGGTGCTGTAGCTGTGGGGCTGGCTGCAGTATCCCCAGTTTGGTGTCCTGGGGGTGGGTCCGAAGGACCTTGTTCAGGGAGTTCTTGGTTATACAAAAAATAAAAAAAAAATAAAAAACTAACTAATAACTTAAAATTTTGAATAAAATGAGTAAGCCACCTATTACATTAATACACTTCAAAACTAATAAATTTTATTATTGAAAAATATACTTTTAACACTCTTGAAATATTAGAGACATGGCATTAATCAATTGTTATACTGAATTACAAAACACTTTAATATTTGACTACATTGTGAAATTTATATATTCCACTGTTGGAAATTGGAAACATTACTATAATATATTTGAAATATAAACATCAGATTCTAGTACTGACAAATAAAATCTTAATATGTATATATAAGACGCATAAGGAGAAATATGTACATTTTTATTTAACTCATCATCCTATTAGTAGCACTTCTCTATATTTGTGTATATATATATATACACACACGCATATTTATATATATAAATGAATGTACAGAAAGTTCAAAATCCCGAGACATGTACCAAAAAGTTCAATTTAATTGAGGATGAGAGGATCATGTTTGTCGTTAACCAAAGCTTAAAAGGAACTTTCTAGAGAACAAAGAAAACATACTAGTAATATATTAATATTATAAAAAGGCATCATGCTATTCTTATCCAATTGAATTATTAAGTGTGAAAAAAAGGGGAAAAACTTGTTAACAGTGCATATGATAGATGCAAGATTTTGGAATTCAGTATTTTGACGCTGTGTTTTTGGGTGAAATTAAAAAAAAAAATTATTCAATTTTATGAATTATTTTTCTCTTATTCCATCATTTTAATTTCAAAACTCTAATTTCATGCATACTAAGCATAGCTAGAAATTATTTACTTTTAGTGTTAGGGTATCTAGTAAATTAGTAATAACTAAAGTAAACTGTAATATCCTCTAGATATCCGTCATTCCAATACAATACTGTAATACCCCTAATTTTCAAAAGGATAGTCTCGGTATTTTTGTTTAATCGCTTTCTGTTAATTAATTGTTTTCTGTTCATTATCTGTTCATTAGTTGTTTTTGAATTATGTTTAATTGACTTTTTAAGGATTAATTGTTTTTGAATTATGTTTAATTGACTTTTTAAGGATTTGACTTACTTGTTTGACTTATGGTGTTTTAATTTATTTAATTGATTAGTTAATTGTATTTTTGTATTTTAATTCTTTTAAATGCTTAATTACAATTAGGGTTTAGTTAACGTTTACTTTAGGGTTTTGTTTTAGAAGTTAAGTCTTGGTAGCCGACGTAGCTTTTAATTAGGATTCTCTATGGGACGGTTAGGATTCATTGTAGGGTTTGGCTTGATTTCCGCATAAACTTATAAATATAAGTATTAAGTCTGCTTAGGGTTTTAGAAAAAATAAACTATTCACGACAGTGGAGGTAGAAAGAGAGAACAGAGGAGGATTTCAGTAGGACGTTGCCGGAGAAAGTAGGAAGACGACTGTGCAAGGCTAAAGGAAAAAGGCAAGTTCTATTCCTAACTCTCTCCCTTGGACTTGTGTTCATTACATGTTTAATGCAACTCCAGGACTAATAAAGATTAATATTAAACCGGATGGCTTGTCTGAATGAAAAACAAAACTGGTTGTGGTTACATGTTACGTATTGGTTGTTTCGGATTCTTTCTTGCGTAACTCCTGAATTAATTCATGTAGATTAACGTGAACAGTGTTGAATTAGTCTGTAACACACTGGGAAGTAATAACAGAGATCTGGTTTGTATGGTAGGTTCGTTTCGAACCGCATGTGTTTACATGCTTCGAGCTTTCTTGTTATAACTCATCTTTGCTATTTCCTGTTCTGATTCAAGTAGATTGAAGATTAATGAGTTTTAAATTATATGGAACATTAGAAACCTAGTTTTAGTCAAGAGAAACCTTTAGAGTTAAGGACAGATCAAACTGGGGGTCGCCGGAGATGAAACTGAAGAAGGAACGCAAGCAGAGAGGGGAACAGGAGGAAGAGGCGGCTCCACACAAGGTGGAGCCGGCTCTAGGGTGTGTGGAGGCGGCTCCACATGGAGTGGAGCCGGCTCCACACAAGGGGGAGGCGGCTCCCTATGTGGGGGAGGCGGCTCCTTCCCCTTTTGATGCAATTTTTGACGAATTTTGCTTCTTGGCTGAGTTTTTGATCTGTTTGGGACATTCAGGGACTGTACATGGGAACCTAAATGAGTTTTAAGGTTATATTAAAGCTCCAGAGGGTGTGGGAATGGTTAATAAACCACTTGGGGTTTATTAGTTGAACAATAACCAATTCTAAACAAAGTTGTAAACTGTTAGGGAATGCAAGTGGTTTAAGTTGCTTAACTTGTTGTAGGAACTTTCTGTAAATGATTATCAAATTCTAGTCATGTATTAATGGTATAAAATAAGCATTGTTAAAATCTATATATTTTTACTATGCTTGTTAAGGAGTAATTGATGTTTAAATTTCAGCATTTATCGCATCAATTGTTGGATTGGTGATATAAGCATGATAATTTGTCAATGTTCATTATGCTTGCTATGGAATCAATTGAGGTAGATATTTATTCATGTTCTCTCAATAATATGGATTCTGGGATAAATTGATAATTACATATACTGTTATATCACCAATTACTAGATTATGGTTGCGTAGTTTAAAAATCAGCATATTAAATTACATAATTTTTGTATGCTTTTTATGGAGCAATTGAATGTCTAGTTTAATATTTTTATTCTAAATTGTTGGATTTATGGATCAGTTGATATTTACATGCATGGTCTGTATTATCAACTACTGGATGGATGGAATGTATGCACCGGTATGGGACGGGGGCATACAAGGGGGATTAGCTCAAAAACCGCTAAGTCCTACCTATTCTGGGATTAAGGAAATGGATTGACTAAAGGTGAAATCCTATGGATTTGTAGTGTCAATGGATTCTGGATGGATTTTAGATATATTTTTATGGTACCTCGATATGAGCTTGAGTCTCAGGATCGACGGTTAGGGAGCGTATATGCATTGGGATGCATAACTGGCTATGATGGTTGGAGGTGTACCCTGTTAGGCTTAGGTACACATGCCCACTTTGTGTGCGTTTTGCATGTTGCCTCTGTTCAGGTTGAGACCGGCCTGTAGTCCAGTGAGAGTCCTTTAGTGTGATTATATATATATACATACAGACTATTAGCTAATGTTGAGTTGGTTAGAATGTACATGCGTATCGAGTCTCTGCTTGGATTGTAGTAGGATAGAACTTGTTCGTGGGCCTGACCCACTCCTATTTTTTCAGGTGTACGTCAGTTCCAGGCTTGAGCTTGTTCGTGCTGTGCAGAGACGATCTTCCATTCTACCGACGATGTAGGATTTCTTTCCAGATCTTGGATTTGGGTTTTATCTTTCTTTTTACTTTCTTTTAATGTGAGATTTTTATTAGGGGTCCACTAGAGATGGATTCCCGAGTTGTTCAAATTATGGATATTTGGTTTATCAAATTTAAGTATTTAATTATTTAAGGATTATCTTTTAGTTTCTTTTCAGCTTTAAACTTTCATTTCTTAATTCATTTTTTATTCTGTGTTCGCTATAACATATTAATTGTTTGATACTCCCTCGGGTTTGGGCCTGGGCCTGATCAACCCGTGTCTCAGATCCGAGGGGTATCACAAATACACACAGGAATATGAGGAAATAACCCTTTTTTAAAAATAAAAAAAAAAAAAAAATTTTGAAATGAAGATGAAGAATAAGAAGTATATTGTTAAAGGTTATTGTCCCACGTCTCTAGTGTTGCCTATATATGAATTAATATGGAACACAATATTATTATTATTAATTTTTTGACAACACAATATTATTCAGTAGCGCTTTTTTACTGTAAGTATATTGGAAAACAGACTCACTCAAACTTCAACTTTAATCTAGGCTCCATTGAAGTTATACGAGTTTCAATTCAAGTCCAACTTTCAACCCAGCCCAGCACAAATTCAAAATTTTGAACACTAAACTATGAAATTAATTAGTTTCTAGTTGGGTCACACTTATGCATAATATATATATATATATATATATATATATGGTTAGACTAAAACTACAACTCTATAATTCTAACTTTATTTTTTAAATTTTATATATATATTTCAAATCATTATTAACCTTTTCTTTTCAGCTTGTTTTTGCTAAAATCTTAATTTATTGTATATTGATCTTTTTACAAATTTATGAGAATTCATTTATATATATATATATATATAAATGAATTCTCATAAATTTGTAAAAAGATCAATATACAATAAATTAAGATTTTAGCAAAAACAAGCTGAAAAGAAAAGGTTAATAATGATTTGAAATATATATATAAAATTTAAAAAATAAAGTTAGAATTATCGAGTTGTAGTTTTAGTCTAACCAAGTTAAGTATTTTTAGCCTAAGCCCAACCTTGACTGTATCTTCCAAAATAAAAGATAAAGCCATTCGTTTTTTATCAGGGCCTAAATTCTAAAGCCCAACAATTTTGTCAGGCTTTAACCCAAAATGGTGAAAACCCACATTTCACCCCAATCTCTGCAAAAACCCTAGTTTTATATACCTTCATTTCCTTCCATTTGTCTCTTGCACACGAAAACCCTAGCCCTAACTCTCCGCAACCATGCCCCCGAAATTTGATCCCTCGCAGGTCGTCGACGTTTTCGTACGAGTCACCGGTGGCGAGGTCGGAGCGGCGAGTTCGCTTGCCCCGAAGATCGGCCCACTTGGTCTCTCCCCGAAGAAGATCGGCGAAGACATCGCCAAGGAGACCGCCAAGGACTGGAAGGGGCTCCGAGTCACCGTCAAGCTCACTGTCCAGAATCGCCAGGCCAAGGTCTCCGTCGTACCCTCCGCCGCCGCTCTGGTCATCAAAGCCCTGAAAGAGCCCGAGCGCGACCGCAAGAAGACTAAGAACATCAAGCACACCGGCAACATTTCTCTTGACGACGTAATCGAGATCGCGAAGATCATGCGGCCGAGATCGATGGCCAAGGAATTGGCGGGCACGGTGAAGGAGATCCTCGGAACTTGCGTTTCCGTCGGATGTACGGTCGACGGGAAGGATCCGAAGGACTTGCAACAGGAGATCTCCGATGGCGAGGTCGAAATTCCTGAGGATTGAGCTAACAAAAGTTGTTACCTCTAAGGTGATTTTAATTTGAATCTCTCTTTTTAAAAATGTTTTAAGGTTGAGAGTTTTGGCTATATCCGAATGCAATTTTGATTGTTCAGTCGTAGTAGTTTCTGCAACTACATGGTATATGGTTTGTTTGTTGAATGTAAGCTTTTATGGTCTTATGCTGTTTCTGTTTCTGTTTGTGGAATATCATTGGCTTATTATCACAAACACGCAATTTGCAAGCACTGTGGAAGACTCTTCTTTTGTTGTCCAGAGTATAGGAGAGGGTTGGAAAACAGAGCTTTTTATAAAAAATCTTAATGAATGGGAATTTTCTAGAGTCCATATAATGGATAGGGTGTCATTTTTTACTCATTCTTAAGTTGTAACTAACAACCACCTCGGCCTCACAGTTAAATAGATATAGTATTCCTATGAGTTTGATACGAACATCTATGTATTTAGGCACTAGTTTAAGAATTTAGAAAGTAACAGGTTATGGAAATTGATTTTACATTGATAGTGTTTGGTAATGTGCTATTATTATATGTTGTATTTTTATTAGGTTCACACTATGTATTTTAATTTTATTGAAGATTTTAATAAAATGTCTATCATACCATTATTTACAGGAATTTTTCCGTCTTCAAATGTCTCTATGTTTTTTCAGTCCAATTGAATTAAAAATTTTGAAATGAGATTTATATTTATGGTCTTAAAGTAGTTTTTTAAAACCTCAAGAACCCTAATAAAATGCGTATCATACAATTATTCAACCGGAATTTATGTAAGTTGGCGGTGTTCAAATGTCTCCATACCATGCTTTTTTAATGTTTCTGCCATGTTCAAATGTACTTTTGCTGTTTGGGTCTTGTTGGTCCGTTTGAAATGGAATAATGATAAATCTGGTGCTTAGGATGGAGCTTTTAAACTTACTGATGCAAGAGGTAATTTAGACTCAATCCTCAAGTTAATATATAGGGATATTGTAGAATTCGGAGTTTGAAAACAATGCAGACAAAGCTTGTGAGTATTGTAACTTTGAAATTTGTTAGACATGGCAAGCTTCTAATAATTAATCCGCAAGTTAATATGCAGGGATAATGTAGAATTCGGAGTTTGAAAACAATGCAGACAAAGCTTGTGAGTATTGTAACTTTGAAATTTGTTAGACACGAAGCTTGCCACTAGGATTTGGTTGCATTTGAGCTTTTGTCAGTTGTAGGTGCCCCGGTGGAGTTAATTTTTTTTTTTTGCAATTTTGTAGTTATTAGTTTCTGGATTGGATTTTCATGAGCGGACATGTGATCAATCGTTATGCAACAACCTGAAACTTGAACCAATGTGCATAACCTTCTACTCTTTTAAACTTGACCTTCTATCCCAGCTTTACTGCTCTCATGCATTCAAATTATATCGGGTTTAGGTTCGTAGCAAACTGAAAAGTGTTTTCTCAATGTAGAAGAAGTCTATTAGAGCTTGTCTATGAGGTTGGTTGGATGGCAGTGTATCATAATCAATATTTTGAAGCCTGTTGTGGATATTTTGTGTTTAGAGATCTTATGAACTTGTTATTTTCTTGGATTGGTAATTATTTAGTATATAGTATTGTGTGTACACACACGTGTGCTCCCTGGTTGGTGTGTATCAAACATAAATGGAACCTTCACATGTCAATTACTGTTGGTAACATGACTTTGGATCCTTCTATTTGGTGGATTAACGGACAACATATTAAATCCAGATCCAGAGCGGTGGTTTTTGCAATAATGATGTTGGACAACTTTGTTAAATAATGGTGTTAGGTTGGTTAACACATAATTGCAAATAATTGTGTTTACTTTTGATTTAATGTGGCATTCCTCCTGCTTATAACATAAAAACTGCATATGACAGAATTCGAACTCCAAAATATGACATGTGAAAACCAAATTGCATTCCGATTCACACCAATATTTTGCTCCATGTTTATCCTTTGACGGTCTAATCTTATATCAAATGACAAAAATACCCTTCATAATGGAAAACCATTATTTGTCCCCTAACAGCATTATTGACAGTTCTCCATATGCTCCCAATGGCAATCACAAGTTACGAACATCAGGAGATGGTCTCAAAATAGTATACGGTTTGTCGGTTCGAGATAATTATCCAGTTTGTCAGTTTGAAATTGGTTGGTTCTTGTGCTCCACTGCTTTGAGCTAAAATCACTGTTATAGTCCCTTGAAAGTTGAAAAACTATGGAGTAGACAACCAGTATGCACATAGAAATTGTAGGTCTTTGGTGGAAAGCTAATTAAGATTCAACACTAATATTATCAAATATTTTAGATCAAATTCTCAAGCAAGAATATTAAACCTGCGAGGAAGAAGATGGCGAACAAGAAGCGTGATGGGAGTGGTGTTAGTTGTGGTGGTGATGGGTTGGAGAGTACCCAGAACGTTGATGATTGGAATGAATTTGTGAGTTTAGGATGAGGAGCTTTGTACAACTTTTTATCAGGAGAGAAACAAAGATCTTTTGGATGTAAATTTTCTGGTGGGGTAGATCTTAATATTTAAGATGGCAGGGTGTTTTTGTTATTTAAAATAAATTAGAATAAAGATGAAGTGCAAGAGTTAAGTCACACAATTCTTCTCGGCAGGTGTTGCTATGTTCCTGTTTCTGACTTAATTTTACCATTCTCAAGCTTCCGCTTTCGAATTTGCTCATATTCTCACTTTATGTGACTTAATGGAAGAGGATATATATATATAGACACTACCTGAATTAACTACTACTCCGTATTAGTTAGCCAGTGTTGGAATTTTCTAATCCACACTAAACCCGAATTATTAAAAATAAAATAAAATTTTTTGATACCCAAGCCTATTAAAAAATGGGAATGGTTGCAAATTGCAATCCTAGCCACAAGCATTCAATTGAGGTAAAAGAATTTACTCTCTTAATTAAAGTTGTGCTTAAGCAAAGTTTATAACAAAAGTGACAAAAAAGAATAATTTAAAACTTGGCTCTTGATAAGTTATATAAACCTAGGTTCATCATGCAGCATAATTGAACACTATCATTACCACATGTTACATATCTTTACGCGATTTGTGGTGTGTGTGCGTGTCCAGATAAATTTATCTGGCAAGCCGCCATCAGCCAACATATATGACACCATGGTCACCAACCACGCTTCCAATATAAAAACTAGTTAATCACACACACATATATATATATATTCTAAATAAGTATTCGAAATTGCAATGATAACGTTAATTTTGTGAAACTGAATTCTTTTTTATTCAATAATTAAGTTCATGCCTGTGTTTCCTTTGATTATTCTTCATAGTTCATTTTGCTGACCAGAAATGGTTACGAAATGAAACTGTATGCAATTTCCAAAAGAACAACTAGTCATATAATTAATAAAAATTACAATATACAGGTCCAAATTAATTAATATTCTGTCCGATAACATGAAATTGAAGGCACCAATTTCATACTATCAAATGTAGCATGGAATTATTTTGTATTTTACTTGATTGAATTTGAAACAGTCTAAAACTATAAATTCTTTTAAACAAGACATCAAACCATTCCATGCACTACACAATTTTTTAATTTCTAAAATAATAATAAAAAATCCAATGGAGAAAGCTCCTACTATTATGGAGTTTATGAAATAGTCACATGTATACAATTTTATCTTTCACATACAAAGACGTTTTCTTAATTTGAACTTGTTGCATCAAGGTCATCATCCTCTATACCTATTTTCAACTACATTTTATTTTTAAGTTTTTAGGACTATTAATTTGCAGACTTCATGTTTTACATAATGTTACGGTATCTATTAGCCGTTGAGTTCAGCTTTAAGAGTCAACATTGCCGTTATATGTTAGAAAAAGCAAGAGCAAGAAAAAAATTAAAGAAAGACGAGGAGTAGAGAGAACCAAAAAAGAACCGTTGCTGATTATGGTAGGACCATGCAAGCGTCGAAAAACCATTTTGGTCTGTGTGAGGGTTGTGCATGGCCTAGAGTCTTTTAGGTTGTGTAGAGGATTGTGAAGTGATGGAGTGAGTTGGATTTTTTTAGAATGTAGGAGAGCTGTGTGGAATGTGAATAAGATTTTGAATGTTTGTAGAGTTTTTTTTTTTCAAAAATTTGAATGTTTGTAGAGTTGTTGATATTAATGAGTAAAGTTCTAGAAGGGAGCAAGGATGCCTTTATAAGGGGAAGTGGTGGTGACATTTTCACCAACCTCCTCTCCGGGTGAGAGAGTACTCCACTAGGGGCTTCGCAATAAAGATAGTATTCTTATTTGTTTCATATAGACGTATATGTATTTGCCCAGTAATTTAAGAATTTAGAAACAAAGATCCAAATTTATTTTAACAATGGTGAAGGAGATACTCCAAAGAAGAAATCTCAATTGCGAGGTCGAAATCCCTCCAGATTGAGCTAACTCAAGTATGAAAGTTGTTGCGTTGATTTCAATTTCAATCTATCCATTTAAAAAGCGTTTTATGGATATTTTGAATATAAATACAAGAAGAAACTTTGAAAGTTTTGGTAACATGTATTCATAATAAAGATATTTTTAAGTAAAAAATTTCATAGTATTCATAATTAAGAATTTTTGTTTTTTGTTTTTTGGAAATATTAATTCAAGCATGTGAAACCAGATTACATTCCAAAAAAAAATAAATTCTTTTAGTATTAAGAGAGATAAAAAGCTTACGAACATTAATTTTCTGAGCACGACATGCAGGGGTGGAGTCAGGAATTTGTTTCAAGGGACGCCGTATTAAAGATGATAAATTATATTTTTTTTCAAGCGAATAGTGATGCAAGACAATAAGTGAAAAAAATAAAAGTGTAATAATGGTGGAATAATAGCATTTAATAATTTGAAAAATAATTATTTAAAAAAATGGAAACATAAAATACCGACCTTTGGAGTCCTTTTAACAACAAATTTAATTACCAAACTTTGAAGAGAAAAAAAAAATTGTTTGAATAAAGGAATGCAACTTTTTTTTTTAAAGAGAATATTAAAAAAAGAAGAAGAAGAAGAGGAGGAGGAGTAAGAATGTAAAGAAAAGAAAAATTAAAGATATTTTTTTAAAATAATTATTTTAGTGGGTATTTTTGTAAAATTTTTATAAATTATAGGCCTATTTGCAATAAAA